GTACCAGGTTGGAGGGCTTTCTCCTGTGTCCTGCTGATGCACAAGAGGGCATTACTTATTTAGAAAATTATTTGGAATAGAACTAAAAGTCACCCTATTGTTTTGCAATGTGACATGATTTCAAGATGGAAATCACGTGTCATAATAAGGCTGCGGTGTTATATCACATTGTCAGATTTGCCTTTCAAGACAAACTGCATATGATCAGGTCAAGAGGGTACCACCAACTTCAATGATACCAGGCAGGAGAAATGGAGCTAGTCCAATCACTAGGCAGATTGATATTTTGGGATCAACCCACACAAGCACCCTGTAAATTTGGTGAGGACAAAAAAACCAAAACAACACACTTGTACATTTTCAAAGGCTTCTTTGATATGGTAGCTATTTCAGAAGGAATCACAGTATTTTTCATTGTCACCAAGAACTGACCCTCCCCACTTACCAGCAGTTTTCTTTAAAAAAAAATATGTAGGCATTTCTCTATATTTTATTCCCCCCCCCCACTTACCAGCAGTTTTCTTTTAAAAAAAATATGTAGGCATTTCTCTATATTTTAAAATCAAGCAATCATTTCATTTCTGTCATGCAGAAAATGATGCAACAAAATCAGAGCCTTAATTATAATGAACAACTAGTACTTCAGAAATTAAAAGGACCACAGGCTGTAACTAGGATCAGGACAAGCTGGAAAAAAGGGAATGTACTCTCAAGCAATGGGTAATGTTACTGCAAGAGCTCCAAAGGATACCCATCTGAAGGAGTTGTTACAGAGTTTCAGGCTAAATATATTATGCGTTCCAGGGCGAGAAGGGCCACACAGAAGGGTAAGGAGAGGGCATGTAAGGGCACCCCATTTAGCAGTTAAAATTTTGGCAGGGATATAGCGAGTGCACCTATATATGCACTCATCATAATACAGTAATGTCCTACCCCAATGGAAAAAGTTATCTGGGACTAAGTGCTAAGATCTCTCTGCTACAAGTGACCATAGCTAGACACTATGGTCTAGGTTCTAACCAAGAGAAAAACATAATACTTCTAGCATGAAGAAAATACAGAAAGCTGAAAACAGGGCATCTCATGACCTGAAAGAATATTCCAATGAAAAGTAAATTCTACCTCCATAAGGATGTCTAACTCTTTAACATTAGGGTAATAAAGGTTCTTATTCTTTCTTTCAGAAGTCCTTCCATTCAGGGCACCTTGAAAAGAAAACCCCTTTGTAACCAGGGAGGATTATGGCCCTCAAGACCTGGCCTGCAACTTCACTTTGTAGTTCTCCTATTTCCAACTCCTGACAGGAAGTTGGAGCTCTAAGGCAGGAGATGCCCCAACATCTCATGTCATCGTTACTTTACTCCTCCCTTTAAGCTTCTATGACCACTTCCTTGTCTCTGTCGGTCAGCATTTCCCTGACCCAGTTTTGCAGTGACCTTCAAAGACCTTTTGTGCAGAAATTCCAACTGCATTGCTGCTCCCCTCCCCCCAACCTTCAGGAGCTTTCCTGAAATCCAGGACATTTTGCTGAGGATTTAGTACAAGAAAACAGAAGTCCCCATTCTTAAGGATCTATCTTAAATCTGTTCTTTGTTGGAGTTAGGAGCAAGAAGGGGTTTTCACTTTCAGAGGAGTCATTGAGAAAATCTATAGCGTCCTAGAGCCCTCCCTCATTACTTATGCAACACAAACATATTCCTTCCCATCCCTTAGACATAGCAAACCAAATAGTCCCTCACCTTTCCACCCTCTCTATATCTACTATACACACAGCCTCCAGTTCACTTATCTGTACTCCCATACATATACAAAGCACCCTCTACTCTTCCTAGTACAGAAACAACTCTCCTCCCCACAGAAGATCCCCACCCTTACACACATCATCTCCCTTTGCCTTGTACACCAATTTCCACACATGCTCCCCTCCATATCCTATAGATGTACACGAGAGACACTTGCAGGATAGATGAGTTCTTCACCTCACAGTGTGCTGACATCCACTGATGTAGATGGACAAGTCTGGACTAGCGCTGAAGAGACCTGTGACCTGTGCCCCCTTCCACTCCAATGGAATTGAGCTGGCATGAATTTACACAGGCAGATGCAGACGATGGAGGAAAACTCTGTGCAACATGTAAAATGAATGAGCCCCAGAACTGTACAGCAACAGCCTCAGTACTGGGACCCTGGTTCCTTGGTTCATTATGCACCTTTAGTCTCTGTTGGTAAGTACTAATGATCACTGTAGTATCTAGATCCGTCTACACTAAGGCTGCTGGCTGTGTGTTTGGAACTACTGTTTCTTTTTGTTTATGATGCCAGATGCTTACACCTGACATACTGAAGCACCTTGCTTGCTATCATGGTGAATCAATTCCTTTCTTCCCTTGTATCTTCCCTTATAAATGGGATTTTGTCCCTTGTTTAAATAGCTCCAGAAACAGTTTCCTCTACCTCCTGCCACAGCATTTTTGTGCCTTGAACTTTTCCTCATTAAAAAAAGTTCACCTAGGCTGTGTCTAGACTGGCCAGTTTTTCCAGAAAATCAGCTGCTTTCCCGGAAAAACTTGCCAGCTGCCTACACTGGCAGCTTGAATTTCCACAAAAGCACTGACTTCCTACTATAAGAAATCAGTGCTTTTTGCAGAAATACTTGCCTGAACGGGAGCAGCATAAAGTCCCTTTTGCGCAAAACTTTTGTGCAAAAGGGCCAGTGTAGACAGCTGAGATTTGTTTTCCGCAAAAAAGCCGATCGGGACTTTTTTGCGCAAAAGCGCATCTAGATTGGCCACGGACGCTTTTCCGCAAAAAGTGTTTTTGCGGAAAAGCGTCGGTGCCAATCTAGACACTCTTTTCCATTAAAAGCATTTCCGGAAAATTATGCCAGTCTAGACATAGCTCTAGTGTTTAACCTGAATTATCCGTGCAGCAGCTTAAGCCCCTTTGCGTCCTGTTTGCCCTAAGTGACAAATAAGAATAATTACTCTCTGTCCTCTACCACATCACATGAGGCTTCTATCAAATGCTTTTCTGTCTCTCCCTCGGTTGTCTCTCACTTACCTTAACCAGATTGTGCTGTCGCATGCTCATCATTTTTTTTCTTTCTTTCTTTCAAACCTCTTAGGCAGCCATGTGAGGAGGATCATTACTGTAAACCAACAGGATTAGGGTTAGTGAAAGGGAAAAAGCACGTATGTACTGGTTCTGTAGTGCTGTTAATTTCCTATTGGGCTAGAATTACATAGTGCATTGGGGTGCAGTGGGTTCAAGCAGTGGCACCCTGAACTTCTAAGGTCGTGCCAGCAAAGATGGAGGTGAAGGTCACAAATGGAAAGAGTCAGGGAATTTGAGCCTAGACTCCAGCAGATGTTCTGCCAATACTGCAGACCTACGACATGGTCTAACCTGTGTGGGTATGTCTACACTTGCACCCTCTTTCGAGAGAGGGATGCAAATGAAGACATTCAAATTTGCAAATTAAGCCGGGATTTAAATATCCCATGCTTCATTTGCATAATCAATTTATGGCGCTATTTCAAAATAGCACTATTTCGAAATAACAGACGCTGTTAAGACATGGTTATTTCGAGAGAAAATCCTTCTCTCTAAATAACCCTTATTCCTCATACAATGAGGTTTACCAGTTATTTTGAGAGAAGGGTTTTCTCTCGAAATAACTGTCTTAACAGCATGTTATTTCGAAATAGCACCATAACGCAATTATGCAAATGAAGTGAAGCATATTTAAATCCCGGCTTCATTTGCAATTTCAAATGTCTTCATTTGCATCCCTCTCTCAAAAAAGGGTGCAAGTGTAGACATACCCTATTTGCTCAGCTCAGGAGCCACCAAGGACTGGAATGGCAGGGGCATTAGAAGAAAAGGTATTGAGGAGCAGGCCTGGAAAAGCTGCCAGGCAGAGTGAAGGTGAATTACCAGAGCTGTGTGAGGGAGCTGAACACTGGAAAAGCAGAAGTTCTGGGAAGTCAGGACTCTGGTGCCTAGGAGAACAGTAGCCCTCTCTCATTAAACAAACACCAAGAGCAAAGAGCTCCAGAGCTACATGTACAACTCTCTCACTGCAAGATGGTCATCACAATAACAAGTCTTCAAAGGATCTGGAACATAATAGGAAAAATAAATGTTCAGATTGGGATCACAGGGACTCTGTATTTCTCAAATTGGAGGGCTTGTGCTAGGAAGGGCCAAGAGGGGAATCTGGCTCTCATGGCCAGATTAAAGGAGTTTGATTCAGATGCTAGTTTTCCACAATGGATGAGTTGACAAAAGTCCTCTTCTTGTAAGAGTTGCCAGCATGGGATGCTCCACCCACAAAAAACTACAACAGCGTCTTGTCTACATCCCCAAAGGCACTAGGTGGTCACTGTTCTGACAGTGGCAGATGCTATGGGGTGGAGTTGGCAGGTCAGGGATACACTAGAATGGGATCAGTATAGCTCCATTGACCCACTGTGAAGAACATGGGAGATATCTATGATTCATTGACAGTATGTGTGCCTGTCTATGTGATTGCCACCATGCTATCTGATGTATGGGTGCCAAAAGTAAACTCAGTCCTGGGTGGGGTTTGCTGGTCTGCAGGAACCCAAGGTTGATAATGGTAGGTAGCCCCATCACCAATGCTTATTACAGTTATCAAGTCCTTTGCAAGTTTGTCCCCACCAGGCTCTGTTCAGCAGACTCACTAGGAACCCCAAGTGGTGGTGGTGAGAATCCAGGAGGGGGAAAGGAAACAGAAAGCGATGGTCGGGCTAAAAGCCTGAGCCCTGAAGCTGAGACTGCTCAAAGGCAGTTACTGCTGGGGAGACACTGACCCTCCTCTCCCAGACAAGTCCCAAACCCAACTGGACCATCTGAGGAAACGTGATTGGTAAGAGGTGTGTTGTAGCCTGGAGACCCATCCTAAGGATGGGGTGAATCTCAGGTGCCCATTGAAAGACATGCAGGTGCTGGGCTCATCACTTGGAAAAGTAGCCACAGAGATACTGAGAGTGATCAAAGGTGTTATTGACCTTGGAACTGTGATACTAAAAGGCACCCTGCCATGGCTGAAAAAACCCAAACCCCATCCTTGCCCTCTGGATTCCCAACTCCTCTTCTCCCTTCACAACAAGACCTCTTCTCTGTATGGTTCCGTGCCTTCAGAGGGAGAAGGCTATCCCTCCCTCTCCATATGGTAACCTCCTTTCCTGATTAGAGGTGATTAGACAGCACTAAAACCTGCAGAAATGTGACTGACTGAAGTAGAAACAAAGGGTCCTTTCAAAAGCCATTAAATCCCTAGGGCAATATATAGAGAGCTCTGAAACAGAGAGCAAGAGCACAAATCACACTATCTGCAACTTCCTACCCGTCCTCTCTCATCTCACTGTGCTTTTCTCAACATCTTTCTTGCTATGGCGTTCTCTGAAGCAGAAGTGCAAAGGGCTCGTGGGGCCTGGGAGAAGATGTATGCCAATGCTGAAGACAATGGGACAACTGTGCTGGTCAGGTAAAAAAAGATCCCATTCCGTTGCTGGTCAAGTTGGGGAGGAAAAGAGACAGATGGAACTACATGCTAGGAACTTGTTCTGTGGACTTTGCACAGTTCCTTACCTTGTAACATCATTAGTTCTGGATACCTCCGCTCAGTGGGAAATAGATAAGACAAAAGAGGTACAGAGATATAAAAGTGATACAGGAGTCCAGAGAAGTGGGTTGGAAATGTGTAAAGAAACAACTATTTCACCTGGAAAGAAGTGTATAAAAGAGAGGGCCAGTTAGCCAGACACTCTTCTTCATTCTATCCGATAAGCAGCTAACAATGGGACAGACAAAACAGAAAGTTAACTGACTACCCTTAGGCCACATACAAATCTGACACAGAATCAGGAACAGAATGCTATGTCCCTCTAAATTCCTTTATTGTTTACTTCTGTGTCCTCTAAACTTCTCTTCCAATTCTCCTTTCCCCTTTCCAGTCTTTCAACTATTTCATTCCAAATAAATTGTTCTCGCTACTAATCTCCTCTAACATAAGTAATAGCTTTATTTCTAGTCTTGTTGCCCTGGATCTCTTCTCTAAAATCTTAACACTTGCTTCACTCCTTCCCAAAAATTCAAGCTTATTCACCTACAGGGCAACACTATTTCAAAATAACTAGCGCTATTCCGAAATAACTTAATCTGTGTCTACACATCATAATCATGAGAGATGGCTGGCAGCCTGGAGACTAAGAGGTTAACTACACCTAGTCAGGTGGAGTGGCCAATGGGAATGTAGGTAGGAATTTCAAACTGGGACAAAGGAATTTTTGGTTTTTCCCTCCTTTCTGGTAGTTCCCTCCAGATTCTGAAGGAGACAGACATGTCTCTCTCTCTCTCTCTCACCCTCTCCCCAAGAAACAATTCTTCACTTTCTGTAAGTAGGGTAAAGTTTAGATAAATCCGTTAGGTTTTATTATTTTATGGTCTGGGAAATAGGATCTGATGTTTTGGCTTTCCTTTGTAACTAAGTTCTAGGCCCATGGAGTTTCTCCATGAGTATATTATTTTGTTACTATGCTTGCAACAGGAATATTGTGGTGATAATAAAAGTTCTCTCTTTTTTCTTATTAACCTGGTTAATTTTTGTGTCCTGGTTTGTACTTTAGGGGTGAGATTTCCCAAGTAGTCTCTCCCTGGTTGCTTTATTAATATTTGGGTGGTGGCAGCGGAGATTTTATCCCCAAAATCTAGGTTAAGATTTTGGGGGAAGTTTTATACCAAAGCCTGGTAGATAAGGTTTTGGGGTACTTTTGCTGGCCCCCAATCCTGCATTTATTGTGCCGGAGTGGGGAAGAAGCCATGACAATGCAACAGGCAGTTATTTCGAAATAGTGTCAAAATACTGTCAAGCTGGAGGACTTCTTATTCCGACTCCTGTAACCTTCATTGTACGAGGAGTAAGGGAAGTCGGAGGAAGAGTGCTCTGTTTTGAAATAAGTGCTGTGTAGACGTTCCCTTTATTTCGAAATAAGCTGTGCAATTGACAGAGCTCAATTTGCGCAGCTTATTTCGAGTTAAGGCCTGCAATGTAGATGCACCCTAACTCAGCTGGAATTTACATCTCTACCTTTTGTCCACACTTATAACCCTACCATGGATCTGCCCAAGTGGGACTCCTTACTTTTTCTGGTGTCTCTTTCACTCACTCCTTCTTCCTCTTATGCCATTTCTAATTCTATATCAACCACAGTAAATTTACATAAAGCTCTTCTGCTCTCCATCCTAGAATATTATAAAGTACAAATACGGTCAGAAAAGTGAATATAAAACACAGCCCTGCATCAATTCAACAGATTTGCTCCCTGTGGTAATTTACTGTAAAAGATTTAGCACTTTTTATTACTGCTAGCTGTACTGAGTCAAGACAGCTCTTGGAGAATGAGTTGGATTCCTTTTCATGCAGTAGCTGCAGAAGTGCTGATTAACATTTGATGCAGATGGATTTTGTTTTTAAACTGGTGATGAGGCACAAGCCAGGAGTTCTGGCTGTAGGCTCAGCTCCTTGGCTACATTTGCAGGGCTGGAAGTTTGGGGCAGAAAAATCTATATTTATGAAATGATAGGATGGTCACTGAGTCACAAATGTAGAATCACACAATGTCATTTTTAGAGTAATAGCTCACTGCATATATCCACATTCAACCTCAGCTATTCTGTGAGGCATTTCAACTACAATGACCCCTTTAATGTCATTTCTGTATTTTATTAACTTGGCCCCTTTAAACCATAAGCCCTTCTGCTCAGGGAATCTTAGTTGGCACTTTCTATAACCATACTAAATAGATTATTAGTTTAGTCCAGTGAGGGAAATATTGCATTCTTAAATGATTTTCCAAGATGCCACTAAGGCTAGGATGGGACTGTAGAAAGGAGCCTCATTTCCTTCACAGGTAACTTCAGCCTAAACTATCTTTTGAATTAATGATGCTAATGATACCCAATACTTAAGTGAAAATCCACCTGAAAGCAAGTTGCAAACTCCAATCTGGGCCTTCCCTGAATAGAGTTGGCTAAAGTCTATGCAACACATTCCCTCCATCTATTCATGCATTTACAGCAGGGGAAGGAGCCTACCACTTGAGTTTACATCTGCTTGGCCTCTTGCAACATCCTTGGTGGGACCAAAGCCCCAATTTCCAGTGGATTTCAGTGTGGGGTGTTTTTTTTTTTTGTAATTTGTTTTATAAAACATCCATTTAAGTAGGCAAACTGGACAAGTTAGGATTTTAATCCAGGTACGGAAGATGAACATCCCTCTAAGCTACACATTCCAGAGGAATTTTCTGTTACAAAATTTTGTTAAACCACGAGTGAAACTAGCTAGGAAAATAAGACAGGCAGGCTGTGAGTATTCGGTATGTTCAAGCTATGGTCAGTAGGCATCTGGCTGGGAGCAGCCAGAACAAGTTTTAAGGTGTAGTTAACAAGAAAAAAATCCTGGAGGCAGCTGAGGGGAGCAGTGGCAGACTATTAGGCTGTGTCTAGACAGGCAATTTTTTCCGCAAAAGTAGCTGCTTTTGCGGAAAAACTTGCCAGCTGTCTACACTGGCCGCTTGAATTTCCGCAAGAAACACCGACGATCTCATGTAAGAAATCAGTGCTTCTTGCAGAAATACTATGCTGCTCCTGTTCGGGCAAAAATCCTTTTGCGCAAAAGCTTTTGCACAAGAGGGCCAGTGTAGACAGTGCAGATTTGTTTTGTGCAAAAAAGCCCCGATCGCGAAAATGGCAATCAGGGCGTCTTTGCACAAAAGCATGTCTAGATAGGCTCGGACGCTTTTCTGCAAAAAGTGCTTTTGCGGAAAAGCATCCGTGCCAATCTAGATGCTCTTTTCCGCAAATGCTTTTAACGGAAAACTTTTCCGTTAAAAGCATTTGTGGAAAATCATGCCAGTCTAGACGTAGCCTTACAGGATAGTGGTCAGAGCTAGCAGGGATCTGCTTTTGACTTACTGGGAAGGAAGGCCAGAGAAAACCAGAGCTGACCCAGAAAAGAGGGCATGTGATGACTACAGGTAGGGAGAGAAGTCAAAGTAGTCCATAAGCTACTGTCTTATACATTAACCTATACCAGTGTCAATGCCTCAGTGCTCAAGAGCTCATTGGGGAGAAGAAAATGTGTCAACTATTTTGTGTTCCTCTCCTGTTTCTTCTCTGATCCACTGCAGAATGTTTACAGAACACCCAGACACCAAGTCCTACTTCACCCACTTTAAAGGGATGGGCACAGCTGAAGAAATGGAACAGTCAGATCAGATCAGGAGTCATGGTAAGAAGGTCCTCACCGCCATCAACGACTTGGTCCAACACCTTGACAGCACTGATGCTTTCCTTGGGATAGTGAACCCATTGGGCAAGAAACATGCCACGCAGCTCAAGATTGACCCCAAGAACTTCAGGGTGAGTCAGCTGACTTCTCCCCTCCCATGTACCATGATGACATGGGATGCATGTCTTTTCTGAGAGACAGATGTCAACTGGCTTTGATGAGGGTTATGCATTTGGGGCTGCTGAAAGGGGATAATTAGAACTGACAAATGTGTTGCTACTAATGTCCTTTCCTACTAATGTCTGTCTGCTCACATCACATTACCCAGGCTTGTAATATAGTACCATATAGAATGTACATAGAACTTTTAATCTTCAAAGCATTTTGGTAGCATTAATTAAATCTCAAAACATGCTTGGGAAGTAGGTTAGTATTGTAATGAGATTACATAATGTATTTAAGAAGACACAGACCATCATTATTTCAGTGCATAATACATCTAGTAAACAAGGAGTATTAGGAGAAAGCTTGCCTTCGGGGCAGGTTAATCCATAATTGTTCAGTACATGATTTCTTGCACCTTATGTTGAAACGTCTAAGACCATTTCTACACTAGAGAGTTTACAGTGGCACAGCTGTACCAATGTAGCTTTGCTGCTAAGAAATTGCTCATCTAGCCACTCTATTCTGACAGGACCAAGCTCTCCCATTGTCATAATAAAACTACCTCCATGAGTGGCTATAGTTATGTGAGTAGAAGCAGCTCTCTTACCAACATGGCATTGTCCACACCAGTGCTTCTCTTGGTCTAATATATGTTGCTCAGAAGTACGTTTTTCACACCCCTGAGTTATATAAGCAATACAGACCAAAATAGTGAAGACATGGCCTAATACTGGTCACAGACAGGATAATGGACTAGATGGACCGCTGATTTATATGACAATTCATATGCTCTTATGACTATATATACACAAGCTTGGCCAAAATTAATCCATCAGATATGGGATAGATTTACACAAACCATGGGAATGGTATAGAGTAAGATTTCCAACAGCTCGTTTTTATTACCCTTTTTGGACGCTACACATTGCAAAACTGTTTCTGTCCCCCCTTTCCTCCCCTCCTCAAGTCACATACAACTTTTCTATTAGGAAGCACCCATATTCTTATTCACAGATTGCATGGAGGGAGTTCACATTTTCTTCCTCT